GAGAGGGAGGGACAGAATCTCCATACCTGTTAACAGTCATGATGGAGAGGGGTTCATGACTCGAGTGGTGCTCTTCCCAAACACCTACCACCAGACATGTGAGGGAAGAGGTTTAATGACCCCTCTGACATATGGTCTCCCCCCCCCCCTCACCTGTCGACAGTATATGGGGGGAGCCTCCCAGCGTTAAGAAACTGTTGTACTAAAGTGCCCTAACCTAACCTACCAGAGGGGCCCACGAACAACAAAACGGGACATTTGTCAACTTCGCGAGCCGCTACCATTTTCTTGTACATAAATTGTTGGCCTTAGGTAAAATATACGTCAAAATACGACGTGCTATATCGAGAACAGGTTGCTATGTTAGGCAGTGCCTTCCATCCTCACCCCTACACCTGTTAACTGTCATGGTGTAGGCGGGTTCATGAGTGCTATTAGAGTGCCTTCCATCCTCAGCTCCACACATGCTAACAGTGTTCACTCCTGGAGGAGGGTGGTTCATGACCCAGTGGTGTGGTCTGGCATCTCTACGGCACCTTCCGTCTCGTGTGAGTCAATGGCCACAGTCTGTGCTCAGAATCATTCAGTGGAGCGCCGGCAGCCGCCCAGGATACCCGTCACTTGCAACCCACACAAAACCACCAGCCTAACAGCTGAACACATACTTACTCCCATCGTCAACAGCCATAACTTCATCATCCGATCATAACTCCTCGTTCCTATGGGTCCGGTGAGATGGGAAAGACAAGAACTTGGGCAAAGTACTAGGATGAGCGAGGGGCAACACCCTCACTCAGCATTTTTATCACCACCACCGGCTGTGTTGTTGTTATAGATTCAGCTACTCGGAATAAGTTCCAAGTAGCACGGGCTATGGTGAGCCCGTAGATTACCTGGCACAGGAGCGGGGCAAGTAGCACGGCCTATGGTGAGCCCGTAGTGGACTTACCTGGCACAGGAGCGGGGCCACCACAGGCGTTAACACCTGCTTACATTATACCAGAGGTGACGCGTGAGCTGCTTGTCACACAACTCTCTCTCGCTGGTCACCACAACTACCTCAACCGGTTAAAGATATTGCGTTTTAATCAGATCTACAAACAGGTCAATCAACCACACCTAACCTAGACCTGACGTTGCCATAGCACCTATCCATTTAACGCAGCAGACGACGATGGTATTAATAGCCCCTCGGTCAACACTAAGAATAGTCTAGCAACTGGGTTTGTTGGTTCTCTCTTCTTGGTACTGGTATACGGGAAGAAGTCATGTCTTATCCTGGTGAAGACTGTGCCAGTGGTGTTGGTGGCTGGGTGGTGAGCCCTACCCACTGTCACCACGCCTCACACGGCCACACACACACAACTCCCTCCTCTAATAGGAATGTTGGCATCACCACCTCGCCAGCACAGGTACACGCAAGCAAAGGCGCTCGCACACACAAACACACACACAGAGCACCAGAGAGCCAGAGCTCAGGAATCTGTACACCAGTTGATTGACAGTTGAGAGGCGGGACCAAAGAGCCAAAGCTCAACCCCCGCAAGCACAAATAGGTGAGTACACACACACACACAGAATCTGTACACCAGTCGATTGACGATTGAGAGGCGGGACCAGAGAGCCAAAGCTCAACCCCCTCAAAACACAAATAGGTGAATACACACATAACTAAACTGACAGTTGCTGCCCCTCCCCCCCCCCTGGTCGCCTCCCAACCAGCAGATAACATCAATAAAAGAGACCAACACCACGTGGAGGGCCTTGTGTGAAGCCTTCAAATGGATCATCAACATTACATTTAGCATGTAAATATAATCTGGCTCGTCTGGTGACTTAATGGGTACCAGGCCATGTCTAATATTTCCTCGTTATTAATAGTTCTCTCCTCACCCGGTCCACCACATGAACTCTCAACACTTCTTGAGTTACACGTTTATTTAAACTTTAGAGTATTAAAAAGTGGTGCAGAATTAAAGCTCAGTAAATGGAGAATGTGCCCTGAGACTTCATTAGTCATGGTGGAGCATATTATATGTTATGGCAGGCACGCACGCAAGCACACACGAACGCAAGCACGCACGTATGCACGCACGCAAGCACGCGCGCGCACACACACACACACACATGTGGTGGAGGCTGACTCCATACACAGTTTCAAGTGTAGATATGATAGAGCCCGATAGGCTCAGGAATCTGTAAACCTGTTGATTGACGGTTGAGAGGCGGGACCAAAGAGCCAGAGCTCAACCCCCGCAAACACAACTAGGTGAGTACAACTAGGTGAGTACACACACACACACACACACACACACACACACACACACACACACACACACACACACACACACATAATAAAGAAAACTACTACAGGACTATTGACCCATGCGAGCCAGCACCTATTTATATCCAATTACACTCCTATATATGTAACCTTAACCTGAAACAATCCAACAGTTCCGCCTCTATTACATTCCCTGAGATGTTTTTCGGAAACTCCCTATTTCAATACCAATACTTACGCAGTTTTTTTCTGCATCCAAATTCATCCAATTTGTATCCATTATTTCGTGTTCTATTATTTCGTTGATATATTTAACACCTAATTAATAACTCTTTATTTGTATATTCGCCTAGCGAATAATGTTTCTGGTTTCTGCGCATACGTAATTCATCTTTTCTGTTGGTAATACTTCTGTTTTATAGTGTAGTACACCTTTTAGGTGTTATTATGGTCATACATATATTTTTACCTGTTGTTGCTATTCATTAGGATGCTTGGGATGTTTCATGTATATCGCTTGTAAATATTGAAATATGAAATTGGGATTAACTTGTTTTGATGTCTGCTTAAGAATATTAGCCTAATATTAATGAAGAATATTAGCCTAATATTAATGCATAACGAATTATCCATCGTTAAAAATGACATAATCAGATAACAACGACAACAATGTACACCAAAGACCAGTACAATTTTTTTAAGTTATAGTAGCCCACTAAAGGAAACTTTCTTAGATTTCAGGACGTCCTTAAAAAAAATTTCGTTTGAATTGATATACTCTAAAGGCAAATTCTGATTGTCGCCTCAATAAATTTCTTGCATAAGAGTTCATCTAATTGTTTTTCAAAAACACACATTTAGGTCTACCTTTGAGCGCCTAAGTTACGGGATGTGAGATCTCGTTTTTTTTTCTTTACGAGATGATTTGCGATGGGATTTAATTTAACATATATTAGAAATTAACGTATATATTAATTTGAAAATTTAATTATTATTATTTCTATATACAAATCAATTTCCAGCTTAATATTTCGACATGGAAGCATTTCCAGTTTCAATGCTGTCTTAATGCCAACTGCTTCTTAGTTACATGGCACAATATACCTAAAAATAATATTATATTAGGTAATCACATGATCTCTTGTGTCGTTCTGTACACAATTTATTTTGATTTATGATATATCTTTTAATATCTCCCTGTTGATAATAAACAAAACAGTTTATGCACCATTTGTCCTACATTCATAAATAATTTGCAAGAAAATGCTAAAAATAGCGAGCTGACATTGATTAGTTTGGGATATCACACTCATCTGCGTAATTGAAGATCAAGCCAAAGAGCAAAGAAGCAAATTTCTGAGCTAAAGTCGACCCGTCCTCCCAAAATTACAGTGTTAAAGAGAGAACTTTATAACCAACCACCTTCAAAGGATACCTGATCAACCAGGCTGTGATTCATACGTCAGGCTGCGAGCAGCCGCGTCCAACAGCCTGGTTGACCAGTCCAGAAACCAAGAGACCTGGTCAGAGACCGGGCCGCGGGGACGTTGAACCCCGAAATCAACGCAAGGCGATTATGGATAGAATGACGTTTTGGGAGTCAGTATAAGGGGCATAACAAAACGTAGAACAGAAAAACCATAAACATAATCTCTCCTAGGCCTAAAAAAAACAATCTAAGGACTAACATATGCATTATGAGGCCTAATTTACTGCATATATGTACTACACAAGGCCTAAGATAAGTTAGACTTGCTCGTTACCTTCTTTCTCGTACCATCTACAATATTAATAATACAAAACGAAGATCTTTTGGGGTGAAAGAGTGCATATATTAGGCTTTCATTTATTAAATCTATGGCTACTATCATTTCTTAATGACAGGTCGTTGCTGTAAATTTCTACGAAAACAGCACCAATAGGAGAATGAAAACCAGAAATACACTAACAATAAACACAACAAATTATTAAATAAAAAGACATTATAATAAGATCAGGAATTGAGTCAGAAAAAAATATGAAAAAATTAAAGATGCAATATTTACAAAATGCAGGACAAGGCTTCATAGCTGTGTACATGTACACCCTTCCTTGTTGATATCACAAATTACACAAAATGTTACATACCAGTCAGGCTGGTAAAAACACTATAATAACAGGCCTACAGAGAATGATAATAATAATTTTAGTAATATGCAAATCATAACCCTTGATTTTATCATTGTAAAATTGACATAAAATAATCTCATAATATTTAAGGAAACGATAGAAGCTTTAGGCTTGTACAGTTATGATATATTAACCAGAAGACGATATTTAAATGAACTTTAAAAAGACGGAATTCCTGTTTTCCAAATGTAGCATCTACGTCAAGAAGGAGCTTGCCTATACAACAAATATTACCACTACAAATGGAACACACATGGAAGTTGATATATATAAACAAACAAACGGCATTAGGCCTACAGGCTGTTGAGGAGTTGAGGTAGATAAATGGTCAGGAGTTAATATGGGGCGTCTTACTTTCCATACTGACATGTATAGACATCTTACTGTATGGGTCAGAAGACTCAGGAAATCTTAAAAGCATATGGAGATAGGAGTACTTGAGGAGGTTGACGGGGGGAGAGCGCCCAGACCAACAGGTGGGTCTGAGGCACTTTCTAAGATGTAAGTCAACAGTTTAAGACACACACACCTTCACCTGTGGACTCACCTGCGTGATCAACGTGGACATGACGCACAGACACAGCATGAGCCTCGTTCCTCGCCTGCAGTCCATCTTAGCGTGTTGTGTCCCGCCCAAGAAAGGAAGATAAACACTAGCACTCCCACCTCTGCTTCCCTGTAGGCAAGTATGCACATAACCAACCTATACCGATTTGGGGGTCAAACTTTTTTTTCCCGATTTTCAACGTCTACAGAGCGGTTCTCTCGACATTTTGATGGCTCACTCAATTCCGAAACTCTTCTTTTACAGATTAGTTCACTAAAGATATGCTATCTGGTTAAGTCAAACATAATGGATACATCCAGGCCGCGGCGGCGTACGACACACCCAACCCTCACAAGCTCTACAGGTGAACTGAGGCTGGCTGAGGTGAAACTCTCTGTGGGATCTCGCGTTACCCACAATCCTCCCGGGGAGAACAACTGACGATCTCCGCGCACCGTATTTCAAGTAAACTCAAGTAATATTAACGTATTTTCAGCGTAATTATTAGTCGATAAGTTATACTATTCTTACATTTATTAGAAAACATATCTTCTGCTTTGTTTGAGCATATATAACGGTTACCAGAATGAGTAGTCAACACCGCGGAGTGGGACTACAATGCTCTCGAACACATGCTCTAGTACCACAGACTATTGTAATTCTAAACGTCAAAGCTCACAGTAAAATGTAATTTTTTCTGCGAGTTCTTGCTCACAAAACTCGTTCTGCTCACTTAAGTATGCTCTTTATATAAACAGCTATGTCATGAAAACCTTATAATTTCACTCAACAATAGTCATATTGCCTTGTAAACCTAATTTTTTTGTATAACCTTCGTCGTCCTAACCCTGTCCATGGAGGACAGAAGAAAATGTATATATGCTACAGCGTAATTATTAGTCGATAAGTTATACTATTCTTACATTTATTAGAAAACATATCTTCTGCTTTGTTTGAGTATAACGGTTACCAGAATGTAGTCAACACCGCGGAGTGGGACTACAATGCTCTCGAACACATGCTCTAGTACCACAGACTATTGTAATTCTAAACGTCAAAGCTCACAGTAAATGTAATTTTTTCTGCGAGTTCTTGCTCACAAAACTCGTTCTGCTCACTTAAGTATGCTCTTTATATAAACAGCTATGTCATGAAAACCTTATAATTTCACTCAACAATAGTCATATTGCCTTGTAAACCTAATTTTTTTGTATAACCTTCGTCGTCCTAACCCTGTCCATGGAGGACAGAAGAAAATGTATATATGCTGCTTAGCATTGTAAATGTGTGGCCACGTCTGTGGTAGAAAATAATAAAAAAAACAAAAAAAAAACATCCTTTACTACTATGTAATGGATTGCAAAAGGATACTTCAATTTATAGACAGCTCTATAAGAAATATTCAATAAATATGTAAATATTTAATTAATAATTATCTACTATTATAAATTTTAGTGAAATATGCCCAGTTTGTTGACTAGCTGGTAAATGTGGGCGGCTGTAAGTTTCTACCTCCGCCCACTGGATGAGGGGCGGTGGGCGTGGGAGGCAAAACAAATTACAAAACTAAATTATCGCACATGTAAGTGGCTTAACTTAGAGGCTACTTGTGGTCGTTTTCGAGCCCATTGTTAAAATATTAATTCATTAAACAGCGTAACAAACTTATCAAAACTGTAACTTACGTAGCTAAATTACTTTTAATCCTGAGCCCATTATGTTCCTCTAGAACCTTCCTCACTATCGCCCGCCAGATGGGTATATACCCATCTGGTGGGTAGTGCCCCGTGGGTAACGGGGCACTACCACCCCGTTACCCACAGGATGGGCATGCGTGGGGTCCACTATCGTCCACAGGATGGGCATGCGTGGGGTCCACTATCGTCCACAGGATGGGCATGCGTGGGGTCCACTATCGTCCACAGGATGGGCATGCGTGGGGTCCACTATCGTCCACAGGATGGGCATGCGTGGGGTCCACTATCGCCCACAGGATGGGTGTGAGGTCCACTTCCGTCCATAGGATAGGTATGGGGTGCATAATAAATGAACTAAACAAACCCAACAATTTATGAACCCATGGAACTACCTACCCGCCGAACCATTAACTTATTTTACGGCTTGGTAAAATTTCAAAATTTGTATTTTGAAAATCCAGCTATTTATTTTATTTTATTTATTTATTTTATTTATTTATATACAAGAAGGTACATTGGGTTTGTGAGAATACATAGCATAGTATTTACAATCTTGTAAAGCCACTAGTACGCGCAGCGTTTCGGGCAGGTCTTTAATCTAACAGATAATTTTATCAAAATGCATTTGTCCTGATGCAGCTGGACAAACGCATCAGGACAAATGGGGGTCCTGCGACAAGCCACCGGCTTTCTGTCCTCGTCGAGGCCACTACAGAGATGTGGCCCTCAGGTAAATATTAGTCCTCGGTAACTTTTAAACTAAAGACTTACCTTAATATTCGTTGCATTTTCTATGTTCGTGTCTTCCAAAGAAACCCATATGATAGGTCTAACTCAACTATATGTCCTAATCCGTGGACCACGCATTACCTGAGTTTACCTTTACCTGTGTGGAGGTACCTGAAGCCTTACTAATGTTTATCAGACCTAGCCTAAGCCTAGATTGAGTTATGTGGTAATCTACTTCTTATTTTTTATTCATTCATGTCATGGTTCGCCTTATTCAACTGACTTTACCTGAGGACCACCGTCTTCCTAGTGGCCTTCATATTGTTCCCGACGATTTTTTCTTTCTGGATTTTAAACTGAAGTAATGCCTTGACATTTATAGCTTTAGCGGGTAGGTAGTTCCAAAGGCTTATAACTCAGTCTTACACTGTGGCTTGTCGAACTTATAGTTGCGTCTCCTTGTATGCGCTGCATTTGAGTAATATAATTTCATTCATTTTGATAATAGTTCTGTAAAATAAGAAATCGTTACTATATTGACCAGTCCTTGTATTTTACAGGGCCGAAGTAAATCGCTGATGATCCCAGTGTATTAAATATTTTAACAGCGATAGTGTTGATGGCAGTTTATGACTTGGATGAAGGTGTGGATTATCACCAGATATCACTGTGGTGATCAAGGTAAGGCTTAGAACTCAGATTTAGTAGCACCTTTTCCTAAGTCCTCTCTCCACATCCTATTTAGAATTCTTTATATATAGAAGTAGAGCCGTCGTCAACCACAGTTTGGTGTTGACTGGGCCCGTTCTCGAGTGTTCCCAACGTCAATAAATTATCATACTATAAAAATAAAATAAAATAAAATGTTTATTCAGGTAAGGTACATACATACAAGAGATTTTACATAAATTGATCGATTTATAGATGGAGCTAGTACATACAATGCCTAAAGCCACTATTATGCAAAGCGTTTCGGGCAGGAAAAACATTAATGACTAAAAACTTAATACTAAATAATACTAAAGTGCCTTATCTAAACCACGTGAACTGTGTAGTATAAGCTTCTGTAGTATTCAATATTTACGGAATAATGTATATGCTGAGCTCAGCAACTGAGCAGTAACGGATTTCTAACAGAATGCAATTAGTGATGGCAACATATCAACAGAAATAATCAAATCATTGTTAATACAGCCGAAGTTTAGATATCACCTCTTGTTGCTATTTTGTTAACATTTCGACCCAAGGCAAGCATACATGTGCTGCTTGTGGTGTTATGGGGCCAGATTCACGAAGTAGTTACGCAAGTACTTACGAACGTACACATCTTTCCTCAATCTTTGACGGCTTTGTTTACATTTATTAAACAGTTTACAGGCAGAGAAAACTTCCCAATCAACTGTTGTTATTGTTATAAACAGTCTCCTGGTGCTTTGGAGCTCATTAACTGTTTAATAATTGTAAATAAAGCCGCCAAAGATTGAGAAAAGATGTACAGGTTCGTAAGTGCTTGCGTAACTGCTTCGTGAATCTGGCCCCTGGCTTCCTCCCACCCAGCAGAGGCTCATGTTGTATTATATTATCAGGCATTTGTAGCACTTCTAACCTAACAAAAGCTGCAGACATCTGCTGCCTCAGCAACTGGCATCCCTTCCCCAACCCGGGTCTTTATATTTGAAATACTGTATTAAGTTTACTGATAAAAAAGATTGATACATTAAAATAAAATTCTAGAAGAGTAGAGAGGAAACTACAGGGTAAAGACTAGAGGGTTCAAGGTGTCTTGTCACCTTGAAATAATTGTTTGGAACAAGTAGCTCCCTTCAAGAGCCACTCACATCATTTATTCGGAATATTTTGTTTGTAAATGCCTCTGAGATTAGCAAAGACCAAACTATGAAATAAATTTATAAACTTAATTATGAAAATATTAATAATTTTCAGATTACTGCACATATATGTAATAATTAATCAAATATATTGAATTAGTTAAAAAATAATTATAAAATCGTAGTTTAAAATATTTAAAATATGACAAATGTGTAGAATTGGGGTAAATATATATTTATAAGCAACTCCGATTCCTTCACGCACCGAGCAGAATAAAACACAGCTTTTTGATACATTTATAATTTATTTAAATAGGTTATAACCATTCTTCATTACCAGGTACATTGTCAGACTGGAGAATAAGTACAATGTTTAGTGATGGGATTGTATTCCAAACACTGTAATTACTTCCATCGTTTTGGAACAAGTTGGGTGTTGGACAATACACGGATGTCTCAACTATTATAGTAGAAGTGATCAACACAACAATGCAACGCCACACATACAATACTGTTTGAAATATTTGGAAATATAAATATATATTGTGTGAACACAGAATGGTCTTAGAGTACACCTTACAGGCTTACATCATCTCCACTCCACCTTCACAGCCAGTGTAGTGTGTCTGCTCCTACTGGAAGGACACGACTAACTAGCAGCAGTGTTGGTGTAGTGGTGTGGCTCACCCTGCCCCCGCCTCCTACCATCATATTCATCAAAGTTTCACTAACAACTTATTCACAGATTTCACCTGCAGCCTGGCTATATTTTCCCCACTTCTCACCTGTGTACAGTTCTGTGTACACACCACCAGATGGTTATCATAAAATGGCACCAAACTTGGAACATTACTGAGCATCTGTTGCGGCGCTGAACGGCCAAAAAGTCCTAGATATAATTCATGATGCTGATACGAGAGCAAAAGGATTGAAGTCAAGCGATATCAGAAGTCTGGGATTCAACCAAGGATTTTATTGAGGACTCTGAGGGACACTGCGAAAGATTTGTAATCTTCCTGAAAATCAGGACATTCTACGCGTAAGTGTGCGACTGTAAGTTGGACAACATCGTTCACAGGAAGTGTGCGACTGTAAGTTGGACAACATCGTTCACAGGAAGTGTGCGACTGTAAGTTGGACAACATCGTTCACAGGAAGTGTGCGACTGTAAGTTGGACAACATCGTTCACAGGAAGTGTGCGACTGTAAGTTGGACAACATCGTTCACAGAATATTGACGTGAGTCCCCATGACTTAAGAGTAGAATTATATACAGCCTTGCCAGAGTAATTTTCCACCTCATATTACAATGGGAGGAGGAAGGTGATAAGGATAAGCCACATCTACTATTAGCGCGCAGGAATGGACATTACTACTGACATCAAGTCGAATATATTGCATATTATTATAATACTGCGCAGTTGGCCGTAACATTCGACCAACGATCATTTCAACGGTTGCGAACTACTGCGTGAATGACAGGCTAAACATTTGAGTAAAGAACCCGCTTTCGGGAGACAGGAGACACTCGTTGCCTCCTTAGCAACTGTGAGGTCATTAGTAATAACATCAACATGGCCGAGGACCCAGCAAAGTCAACTGTCTAATACCTGCTGTAGATGACCTAGTGAATGAGTCCATAACATATAGGATATTAATAAGGGTAAACAAATTCTTCAAGATTAAGCTTCATAAACGGCTGGGTAAATACTGGTGTGGAAAAGAGGGTTGTTGATTTATGGAACAGATTCCCATATAACTTGATAGATGTATTACTGGTGGATTGTTTTTAATACAAGAACAAATCTTTAGTTTCTCTTATTCTCATTCTTATGTTCTTAAGAATTTCAGTCAAGAAAGGCCTTAAGGAATACGTTCTCTTCATCCTGAGTGGTGGTCCATGTCCGTTGTGAGGTGGACCAGGCCCTCTGAGGTGGACCAGGCCCTCTGAGGTGGACCAGGTCCTCTGAGGTGGACCAGGTCCTATGAGGTGGACCAGGTCCCAGGTCCTCTGTGATGTCGGCTAGATCCTCTGCAAGGTAGGCCAGGCTCTCTGTGGTATCAGTCAGGTTTCCTATGAGGTGGATCAGGTCTTACGTGACTCAGGCCAGGCATTCTGTGAGGTAGGCCCAAGTCCTCTGTGAGGCTGGCCAGAATCTTCTGTATCACTGTACTTCAGTAAGAAGTACAGTGTCAGTGGTACGGCTTCATGTAATGGACAAGACATCACTACTGATATCAAGTTTTGCTCGAGTTATAGTTGAATAAGTAGGTGTGTGTGTGTGTGTGTGTGTGTGTGTGTGTGATTTTAAATGATGACAGTGTTGTCAAGGTCGTTGAGAGCCGTGGTGCTGACGTATTTTGGTAGTGTTGCCGGTGACACTGGCAGGCATACCAGTGTCGCCCTTACGTGCTTGCTGGTCCCTTCAGAATCCTACTGGGGCCTCCGGGACGAACTTCCACACCCGGTTAGGTCCAATCTCAGCCACGTAGATGGCAGAGGCGTCCGGACTCACGGCGATGGCGTGAGGGTTGTGGAAGCCCTGCCGGTGTAGAGGAGGAGGAGGATAAGGCCCTTGGCAGCAGATAATGAGAAGCGAGAGCTTATACATATACAGGAATAAATCTATAAAAACAACTGACCCAAATTCTAGCATGCAACTACTGTATGTATTAACTAAATACCATGATAGGTTCTTCGTGTTACTATAACAGGTACCTTATGGAGGGCTACCTTATCAAGTCCCCAGAGTCGCCTACCACGACAGATACCTTAAGTCGGACCACCGTAGCAGGTCCTCTGAGTCACTTACCGTGACAGGTGCCCAGGCGTCGAGTAGATCGCCAGTGTCAAGGTCAGCTGTAAAGCCAGTTGCCACGCCTTCCGTCTCGCTGCCCCCCACGCCCACCAGCACGCCATCTGTTGGCGGAAAGTTCATTTAGGTCCTTTCCGTAGGCCAGACTGTTTGCCCGTGTCTCCCGTAGGTCACACTGTTTGCTAGTATCTCCCGTAGATTTCCACTTTCTCTTAACTTAACTAGAAGATAACTTGCAACACTCACTGAGAGCAGCCACGTCGAACACCCTGCCACGGTTTGGGCCCTGAAGAGTCATGATGGGTTGTCCGAACTCCTGTGGGTCGCGAAGGCCCGCCCTGAGGCACACCACGCGGTGGTTCTCGCGGTCAGCCACACAGAGGGCGTCGCGGGCCTCGTCCAGCGCCAACCCATGGGGCACGTACAAGGCTCCTGGGCTACCGTCGCTGCCTGCACACACACACACACACACACACGCGTGTATTAAACACTTAAATGAATAACAAATTTTGCTGATTTGTATTATAAATACCAGAAATAATTACAAACAATTGATATTCCTATAAAATGGGGAGGCATGGTCAAAATGTGCACGCCAAATGTGTATTATGTAATAGAAACGTCAAACTTTGCACACAAGTTAATTATAAACAGATGTGGATATTCAGATAATGAAATCAGTCTACTGTGTGTAAGTGTAACTTGGAGGTCTAACCTATTAAATAAGTTGTATATTCGACCACAACTAGCTGATACTCACCCTGGTGTCCGAATTGGTCTTTGAGTGTTCCGTCAGCAGCGAAGCGGAGGACGCGGGCGTTGCAATAGCCATCGGCCACGAAGAAGTCTCCCGAGGAGGTGACGGCGACGCTGGTGGGTTTACACAAGTGTTGGTCGTCACTGCCGGGCACCCCAGCCTCACCTATCATCAGCTCGGGCTCCTCGCCTTCAACAGCGAACTGCACCAAAAAGTCAATAAAGTGTTGAAGCTTCTCTACAGCAGACTTGCATTAACATAAAGTTTCCAGTAAGAGCTCCCACTGAAAATAAGACAGAGATAAGAGTCCCCACAAGGAAACGCCGCTACCCACCTTGAACACCTGGTGGAGGGCGACATCAGTGAGCCAAGTATTGCCCTTGGTGTCGACGGTGATACCATGAGGTAGGAAGAAGCGTCCATGGCCCCAGGAGCGCAGGACGTCACCAGTGTCTGGATCCAGCACAACCACTACATCTTCCTCCAGGGGTCCTCCCTCCTGGTAATGGTGCGTCGCGTTGAACGACCTGCAGCCACCAGTCCACACGACTCAATATAATAATAATAATAATAATAATATTGACCTTATTCATTCACATCGGATGTATACCTAATATATGACTTGCACATACACTTTGATTTGTTCACCTGGGTATATTTACAGTAAAAGAGTCAAGTACTACGTGGAATATATGCCATACTCACAGGTAGTCCCAGGTGCGCGTGCCCCGGTGGAAGAGGACAGGTCTACCCAAGGGGTCGACGGAGACACCAGCCACCTGCCCAACCTCCAGCTTGGGCGACCAGCCCCGCTCCTCTTGTGGGTGACCCACGCTACCACCGCCCTGACGATGCACAGCTCCATGTAGATCAATTCATTATTTCATTTAGTTTAAGAACTAAATAAAAAGTGACAATTAGCTGTCCCTGCTTACTAGGTTTCATCAGACACCAGGAAAGTTATTAAAACAATAATACAATACTATGATCAAAATACTTTAGATGAAATGATAATAAACAAGAGACGTGGAGAATAATAAATATTATATTATACAACTTCCTTTAGGCGAGTAAAAGGAGAGAGTTAAGAAAGTTGTAAACCGATTGGCGAGTCGTGTTCCAGGGAAAACGAGTATGATAACTCTGAGCTATGGGAAGAGACAGCACTAAGCCTACTGAAGAGAAAGATGTATTCTTCTGTACCTGTTTGTGAAGCCAAAGAAAGGAACAACTGCAAGATAAATCTTATAAAAATGAGATGGATGGATACGTTCCACAACTGTTCCATATTATACAGGCCAAAAGAAGAAAAAGCAGAGCAGTAAAGATGCTCTGCAATTGCAAATCAAATATATAAACATAATTTCAATAAATTTGCATTGACACTAAAAATAAATGCAAAATTTGTTGATCATGTATGAATAACAAATTAATTTAATAATTTCAGTTTATATAAGTATAGGAGTATCACCTCTAGTGCAATTGTAGGGACCAATAGCCTAGGAGAAGAAAATAGATTTTATTGTAGACCTATTACTTTAAGAAATGTGTCGAACATAAATATTGGTGATCGAGTAGAGGCCATCGACCGAGCAATGTCGGGCCTATATAGTGCGAAGAGAAGAAATTTAATATGTTTTTGTGCTAGAGCTCAATCCTACTAGAAATCTTAAAAAGAAGACAGATGTGGAGAGAGGCAAGAGTTAAAATTATAACTGAAAGTTTTCATATACAACATTGTAGAAATTTGTCTAGTAGGTGCATGTCAGACTGAATACATTCATCATTAAAAATATATAATCCTAAAATTAAAAATGTATGCTTGCACTGCCCACACGCCCCATTTTTTTAAATAACCAAATAAAATAAATTGACTTCTATACACAACAAATACCCCATCCTCCTTAGAATATATGTATACTATAGTTGTTATTGTGAGAATGTATAAAACATAGACTGTTAATCCCCCAAAAGCTACTGGAACCTTAATGGGCATAACAAAGTAAAATTAACCCAAATCCCAACTTTGCTTAAGTCACCAACTCTAGGCCTAACATACACAATCTTGAGCCTAATTTTAGTAATCTAGTACATACTTATAGCCTTAGAAAACTTGTTTGGATGTCTTATGTATTGAGCCAATAGGAATTTAATATGTATATATATATATATATAGGAGCCAATTTAATATGTATAAATAATGTGAAGGCATTTTTTGCATGTGCAGTACTATTAGCTTATTCTATTAATTTCTAGTTTTTGCAGTTTCGGGGGCATCTATATTAAGATATATTAATGAGACCAATTTGAGAAAGGTGGTCAGATCCTGTAGGCCTAGGATACCCCTCACCATAGGCCTCCCCTGGGAGTCATCACCAATGTATGGGTCGGCTGCATCACTCACCTTCCAGGCCTCGCGATCCTCCAGGAGGTTCCTCAGTTCTGTGTAGATGCTGTCGTCGAAGTAGTCAGAACTGGGGATCTTAAGAGCAAACACACACGTGAAGCAACATATGGAAGCACACACTTGTAACCAAAACATGGTCATTTTGTCTCAGGCTTTTGTCCCACACAAGAAATGTCCTTCGATATCTTTCACTTGCGTGTGCTCCAGGCACAGATTACCGTGCACGAGTGACCGTTTAAGCTGTTTGTTTGTGAGATTTAGAGGTAAAGTGCTGGAGGGTGTAGGGGCGTGTGGGTCCCTCGATGGTCTCCAAGCTGAATGAAGCATCGACCGTGTTGTCATGGCGACGCTCGCGTCATGCTGTAATCAATGGGACGCATGCGTGGAGAGTTACCCTTGCTCCAGGCCCTCCACTATAACATAACTATAATTATATCCTGAAGAATACTCGTGTATTTGGCCTCTTGTTCGGTTATACAGTTTATAGTTTCCCTGTTTGTACCTTTTAAAGACATAAACATTGGCATTACTGCATTCCTCGCGTTCAACTCTATTTTACGGCTTATTTTTGTTAGGAAACTTAGGTATACACAGCAATGTGCTGCTATCCTATTTTATATTAAAGATTACACATTGTAGATAAAAAACTACCTATAAGTTCATCTAATATTCCCATCTCACAGGATGGTTAGTCATACATGGAATCAGGAGGAGCAAATATCTGCCTCAATACAAAAAAATAAATTAAATTTGACTAAATAATAACTGATTTTCATAAGAGCTAAACATTGAATCGTGAAAATATTATATTATAATTATTTTTACCACTTTCTATTAGATTCCTCTCAAATAATGTAGTTTTTTTACAGCAAGATAATTCAGAGCCCTTATTTTTTTCCAAAACACTATTTTGGAGAGAATAAGCTTTTACTAAGCTACATATCATAAATTAATTAAGTTCAAAATCTGGTAATGAGTCTGTGATTCCATATATATTTTGCCTGTGTTTCCTGACCTAAATACAACAGCATTTAAAGATACAATTATTACATTCTTTTCAAAACCTATAGACAAAACTTCACTAGCATAGTATATATTACTGCCAAACAAGCCTATTCAGTGAACAAATCCACAAGGGCTGTGACAAGGGTTCGAACCTACGTCCGAGAGGATCCCAAATGTTGCTTTAATCGACTGAGCTACGACATGGTAAAGAGAATTGCAACCGGGAAATCATCCTGATCTACCGCGGGTCCTGCAGCCTCTCCGAGACACAAACCAGGGTTTTACGCAATTCCTCCATGCACCCGAGCTCTGCCAATATTAGCAGAGCTGATTTCCCAGTTGCAATATTGGCAGAGCTCGGGTGAAAAACAAGTGAAAACCGGGCAGCAACTCTACGGAAAATAACTTCCCAATATCTAATCATAAAAAAATAATATTTCTTAAAGAGGGCACTGGGACCTACCCTGACTGGCCTATTGCACCTCCAGCCCACCTATGTCATCTTGAAAAGTTAGATGAGGCTAGCCTCGGCCTGAATCCTTGGATACACAAACAGACAGACATTCTCTTTTTTATATACAGGTTACGGTAATTTTTAATCAAACAATTATGATCCGAATTCAGTCTTTACAAAAATTAACATGATTCTGAATAAGTAGAGTCAAATATTTAACAAGCTATAATGAGACGTTTTCCACCTGGCCAAGGGAACAGATACAAAGCTCAGCTAGTAGTAGCCAAGAGTCTTCTCTGATCAGAGTTGATTTCTCTGAGGAACGGTGGTGGTCGATGAGGCAATCTCCACTCCCTCCCTGTCTTTACGTGACGCAATAATGCTTTGTGAGCATCGTATACAGAGCGATGTTTCTACTGAAGTCTCTACAACCATAACTATATTGTTTCGACGTTGTCATTAATCCGTTATTACTTTATTAAAAATGTGGACGTTTGTCCATATATATATATTTACCGCTAAATGAATTTGTATGTGTATGTGACTTTTCATTTCCTTTCTCTCTATCTCTCTTCCTCCATCTCTTCTTTTCCCCTATTTCTCTCCCTCCCCACTATCTCCCTCTCGTTCTCTCTCTCCCTCTCTCTACCTCTTTCAACACAGTCCCTCTCCTTCTACCTCCTCTCTGCTCTCTCTCACCACATTCCCTCTCCCTTTGCCATCCTGTTTGTCTCTCTCTCCCCTTTTTCTGTCTGTCTCTGCCGTTGTACCTTTCTGTCTCAAAACATGCAATAAATGCCCAGAAAACACACAATGTATCACAATATTTGTATTATTGTTACTTTGATAGTGTTGTAACAACGTTGTAAACAATCAGCAGCTGAAAAACTGTTGAAAACCTAGCTCCTATTTAGACTTCATGGAAGCTACTGATCTTATTAGAGTGGGGAAAATGGGGCCAACCTGCCTATGACAGCCCTCTACCACCAATGTGTCATCCAGACAATGTGAGGCTAGCCACAAGTGCTTCTCCTACCTCAGAGAGAGACAGTCTCTTTTATAGACGTAATTTATAATTATTTATGTATGATTATTTAGAAAGAGTACTATTATTATTGCATGGTAATTATTAGTATATTATAAAACCTCTTTTATGTTACTTTTATTAGAATGTTGCAAGCATTAACTTTTATTTTCTTATATAGTCACCTGAAAAAAGTATTCTTGCATTCCTTTGTTATTGATTTTAAAAATAAAGGTAAGTCATAGTAGTTGAAATGTACTGAGAACCATATTATAACATTAATCATGTGAACATTTTTTAAATTGTTGAAGTAGTGGTATATTTTGACCATCAACTATTGCCAAAACTAAGTTTCATAATTTTTTGCAGAGCTTATTTAGGATAAGAGCTTTGTGATTATTCTTTTTGAGCAAATTATAGATATGTCTAGTAGCTACTTGTGCCATATTTTATTGACATTTTTTTCTTGAGGGAGAGAGCTAGAGTGAAGTGCGCTGTATGCACATTGTGCACCTTGTAATATATGTACACACATTTATACATATGTCTGGGATGTACAAGATGTTCGAATGGCTTGAAGCTAACGAAAGACTTAATCCAGCCCTGACTGTGACGTGCCTTGTTCAAAATCTATATAAGTACACTCATGTGCCTTGGGTAGGGTGTAGAAAACTTCATGTTGGATAAGTAACCTCTGATCCAGCAAAGAAACCACTCTCCATCCGTTCTACTTCAAGGAGCTGACAAAAAGTATCTGATATATAAACCATATAAGTATTTACATATTAGATACAAAAAAACAATGTTAATGTGTCGTTTATAATTATATATTAGATGCAGAAACAAATTTAAGTTTCTTGATCACTAGACGTATCATACGTGAGATATGTACATGGAAGCTGAATACACTAGGAAATTTCCAAGTTATGGGATATACTGTCCTCTACTACTCATAGCCAAGACTGCACTTCTGGTGTGAAGATAAGTTACCGATTACGACTAAATGCCATAAGTAAGAGCCCATCTATATGTGTAGATCTTCGTAAAATATAACTATATCAATGCTGTAACCTGCTTAGCTTGACGAATACTGGGGTTCAGAGCTAATTTTGTGCCTCTGGCTGTAGCTTATACTTTTTTCTGTAGTATACGTATATACATGACAGATTTAACTGTCGCCTTGACGTGGTCACATATATTTGTATATCTTGTACAGCTTCTGAAGCAAATGCAATATTTTATAGACTGTATGACTATCATGAAATAGAAAGTGGAGACCAGGTGAGAAACTCTTACGTAATAAATGAACGGTCACTCCTCCTTGGGGAGTTGGCTGGGGGAAGGAATTACATAATATTGTTAAACTCTAAATAAAACTAATTATAGAAAGTCAGCGCTGTTAATCAGGTTTCACTTAATCAGTTAACTCTCCAATAACAGCTCTTTTTTAACCTCAGTATATTTATAAAACGGATTCAGACTGAGGAAAACTCGGAAAGATGGATGTTTCCATCCGTCTGGGGTATACACATTTTGAAGAGGGAAACTAAAGTATCATTTCACGCATACACAGTGTATATTTACGACGATAGTTAGATATTATTAGTGCTGAGAGTCATTAGGTGGCTAAATGAGGTCAGTTTGGCCATTCCCAGAGCTGACGCCCCTTCCACCATCTATTGTCAGCTGGGGGAACTGTGGGTCACGTGACCTGGCAGCCGATGACGCCATATTAGACGTTTGTTATTGTTGTGGTAGTTGAAGTGATGCTGGCGGGGTAGGTGACCTGTTCACTCTCTGGCCCTTATTCGTGCCCCTCCAGTCAGGACCAGTGCCATATGTGTGCCACACGCCCTCCACGCCCCGCCACCACCAGCCAGGTGAGAGGTGCCAGGTGCCAGGGGGGAGATATAGTAGAGCAGGCTGTGCCTCTCGCTATGGGGGCAAGGTTTTCTAATATGAATTTTTTTTTCCTCTTCGTTAACCTTGTTCGTTATATGAACCATTGGGAACCTTCTAGTGTTGGTATGTTGTAGTTCACTACATACTACATGTTAGTCTCAACTATTTAATACGCCTAGCTAGAGTGATTGTGGTGGCCAATGCCTGACATATATATATATGCTGGTCATTTAAATTGATAATTTAGCTTAAAAAATAAGCACACATTTGATTGCTGGTGTAATTAAAATTGTCACCTTAATAAGTTTTTCAATTTTTGTTTTAATTATTAAAATACTGGCAAAATTTAAGTTGACTCAATAATGTGAGTTTAGGTTTTATAGAAAGGGTTTTTGTCATATTTAACAAAATTTTCAATTAAGGAGAGATTTCTGCCAAGGCCAAGTAACCAAAGGTGTGGTTAAATTGTCAGAATGCAGCAGCAGGAACTTTGTCAAGTACTGTACAATGAGCTTCTTGCTTGTTTCTCATTTCCTTGTTAATTATAGAACTGTTGAGTTGACCCAACTTGTCCTCTTACAAATAACGTCACTTTTTTGCTCGTATGCGTTACGGCCAAAAATTGCAATATTAGAAAATGGATATTTATTTTCCAAATGATATAGACCCAAAACAGCAAGTTTTGGGTTCCCTGGTAGGTTAGGAGAGCAGCAAGTTCACCTAAGGTTTCAAAACATCATGAAAACTTAATTTAGTGACCTAACAGACTAAGCCAGAGGACCCAAAACAAAAAACAGGACCATACGTCACTTTCGTGAGCCAATTCCATTTTCTAGTACAGTACTGTACGACAATTTTTAGCCTTTGTGTGCAAATGAGCGAAAAGCGACGTTATTTGTAAGGGGACAGGTTGATTAGCCAACATTGTTAATTTTTTACTGAAAAT